CTGGGCAGCCTATAAAATATATATTTATATATTTTAAAAATATATGTAAAATATATTTTTATATGCATACATTTGATCATCAGAGACAGATTCCTGTTACTAGACAATGGGATTAGTGATTTTCAGAATAAGTGTTTATTGTACCTAGCAAGGCCAGCAAACCCATCACAGTAAGCACCGGCTTCCTCACCATCTGGACGTGTGGGGGGTTTGTGTTGTTCATCTGGAAGCGTGCTGTCAGAGTCCTTTGGGTGAAATAATGTGGATGGTAGCTCAGAAAGGCATTGTCATTGCTCAGTAAAGTGTAGTTGATGGTGTTATTGGCTTTAGCAATCAATAGGTTCTGATGCTGGGAAATGACCTGGAAAGCAAAGAAGGAACAGCACTTTTAACACTTGGATCCAGTTATTCTGTTAGCCACACAAAATATGATACATAGGCCATAATCCTATCAGTTACGTACACTCACAAGCATAATGCCAATGGTGTAACCTTTTGGTAGCAAATTACCACATGTTGAGAATTTGGCATCAGTGCATTGAGTTGTGCAACCCAGTGTGCAACAGACAATATCTACATGGAATTCTTATTTTGTGGCAATTCACTGCCAAAACATTACACTATTTGCATTATGCTGGCATAAAACAGCAATAGGGTTTTGACCACAGAATTAGGAATGGGAGAAGATTTTGATTCAATTTGCTTTTGCACAGAATGTTCCTCATTTTACAGAATTTAAATTTGGAAGAAAGTGAAACTGACCAATCTGCCAATTTCATATCTGTTCATGTCTGAAAAGAATTTACCAAATTTGACAGAATTTGAAAGAGGGAGAAAGTAAGATTTGTCCATCTCTACAGGTATTAAGTCTCTACTGTGTACCATTACTGAGGACTTGCCAAGATTCTTGCCAACCAACTCACTCCAGCAAAAAGAGAATATTACTTATATCTTTCTTTGCAGATGGCTATGCGGTATAACTAGGGCTTTGTAAATTCTGCTCAATATAAATTATGGAGTAAGGCAATCCAAATTCCTGTGTCTCTAGCAATTAGCATATTTGCATGATTTCTTTATTTTGCATAACTCAATTTGCAGTTGTACTACTTGGTATAACCTAATCTGCTTTTGCTCACATAAGGTGCGGAATGAAAAATGGTGCAGCACTAAGGAAGCCCTTTTAAGCCAAAGAAATGGTATTCCATACGTCTTTGATGCCTGGGAGTTTTACAGGAATTTACAAACTTTGATATTTTCAGACATTCCTTTACAATCATAAGGATTAGAAAGCTGTTTGTTTGCTAATATAAAACAAAATAGTTGAAACAGAAGTTCTTAGCTGTGCTGTGAACCCAACATCACAGATTATAGTTTATGAAAAAAAAAAATTAAGGATCACAATTTTTCTTCCTACCACTTCATTTCTCACCCATCGGCATAGGTGACGAATGAGTATTTTAATCTGACCATGGAATAAATTTAATCTATGTGAAGAACTGTATGAAAATAAGAAATGCACCATTATGATTTGGTATCAGGATCCACTAACAAGCCTCAGTGATGGCTTGTGTTGACCTAATTTCCCCAGCCTTACTAAAATTAGGAACTTAAGTGGAGGATTTCAGCAGCGTAACTAATCAGATGTAAAAGGATTAACTGTCTTTGCTAAAACACACAGGGTAGAAAGGCAGCTTTTAAATAATGTCCAGCCATGTAGACCAGAATCTGCATTTTATACTGCCTTTAAAATCAATAACTGATTTTAGAAGTTCCAGTATAAATGTTCTCAGGAAACTCTATTTATAGCACCCCTAATTTGTTACATGTGTGTATACTAGGGTGGCGGCGGCTGCGGTATTCCTTCTTTTCCCTTCCATTCATCTGAGATAACATTTGAATTATAGATTTTAAGCGAGTCACGACCAAAACTGGCCCTTTTATATGTTGTAAGGTACCAAGTAAATACATGGTATATCATGGCCCAAATGGAAATAGGGGCTGGGGCTCCTCCTGCCATGGAGGGATGACAAGTTGGACCATATAAATAGTATTAGCAACATAGTAGTCCTGACAGGTGGGATGTGTGACCAGTGGAGGGTTTGAATAATCACGGGACGTTCTAATTTTGGAGGTTGGAAGGTTCAGAGTGAAATGACCAGCACACACACACGGAGAGAGAAATAGACACATACACACAGAGAGGGAGGGGGAGAAGAGGTAGGAGGGTGAAGTGAGGTTTCATTTATAAGGCATGAAAAGCCTCTAGGAACCAAATCCCTGTTTTAACATTAAGCCTGATGGGAAAATAGGGGTTGACTTTCAGTGGTTCACTTTACAACTTTTACCGGGGAACAGGAGAGGCCAGCAATGTCCAGCAACAACATTCAGCCCTCAAGCACCGGCCATCAGTATCTATAGTGTCAAGGGGGCAAAAAGGTTGTTCAGCCCCTTAGACTGATAGGACTTCAGAAGTGAGACTTCCAAGGACAAATCCTAACAAAATACTGTACTGCAGTGTTACCTCTAGTATTCTTAAAAACTTTCTACTTTCTTAGAGCGTTGTTCAGCCCCTTAGACTGATAGGACTTGAGAAGTGACACTTCCAAGGACAAATCTAACAATATACTGCAGTGTTACCTCTAGTATCCTTAAAAACAGGTCAATTACGACCACTCTAGGCGGCTAATAATAAAATTTGACCAATCCCAGTCAGACAGACAGACAGTTTGGGTCAACCAAACAACTTAAAGGGTTTAGCTCCCAAGTAAAAATGTGAATAGAACAATCAAATGTCACACTTTTGACAGGAAAGTGCATCTTGTCATCTTCAGAATATAGACAGCATACTAACTACATTGGATGTGGTAATATTTGTATCCTAAAGATGGCAGAATGTGTTTTCCTGTCAAAAGTGTGACTTTTTAAAATTGTTTTTACTTGGAAGCTAAACCCATTAAATTGTTTGGGACAATTCAGTCCGTCTGCCTGAGATTGGTCAACTTTTAAGAAGTTTTCTGCCCAGTGCCCTAGTCAGCTGGTGGCTCCTGCCTGCTACTGAAACCAATATCAAACTCTTTTAAGGCTGTATGGTGTAAGAAGAGCCATTTACCTTCTCAAAAGCCACATCTATATTTGATCTAGTTTCTGTCATCAACAGCTTATGCTAACAGCTTGTCACCCCTGTGTGACACCAAGGGAAATGATGCCATCTTGTGTTTATTACAGAGCAACTCTTGGGTTTTCCAGGGCTGAATGGCTCTAAGCCAAATTTTCCCTACCCTATGTCTCACATACAATGCATCTCTCTTGAGGTCATTATAGTGGCTCATGCTATAAAAAGAGTGTCTCCATGTAGAGGACATTATGACTGTTGGTTATGCCATTATTCTGATCACTAGGCAAAACATTCCAATATGCCGTCTACCCGCTGACACTTGCCTTTGTCTGTGCTTGTGAGTCCCACTACACCCCCCCACCCCCAGAGGGGCAAGGACTGAAGAGTTTCAGCCTGGTTTGGTCACTCGTGGTATCTTTTATTAAAGACACAGTCAGCCCTTACTGCCCCCGCCCCTACATTCCCAGCAGGCTAAGCTTCCAGTACTACCACTCTGGGCACAGTCAGTCCTGCTGGAGCCCCAGTTGACTTCCCTGGGGTCCCCAAAGGTCCAGGTCTGGAGAAGTGTGTGGGGGGGGACTATGAGTGCCAATCTTGGATGCAGTCCATTTAGGAGGGCTGGTAAAGACAGGTGATGGGGACCGAGCTCCACAGCGCTGCAGGTCCTGGAGGCTCCTTTGCTGTGCCTATTGCCGCTCGGATCCCCAGCACCAGAGCTTGGGTGAGGGCAGGCTCTGCAGGTCCCCTCAGGGGGCAAGGCCTAGGCTCTGGTGAACCTGGGTCAGCTGGAGGCTCAGCTGCTGGTGCTTCAGGTCCCTGACCTTTTCCACAGCTGAACAGGCTGGGTGGGAGACGCTGGCTCCCCTTGTCCTCTATCCTTGTATGCACCTCTGTGGAGGCCAAAAAGATGGGCTCCCAGTGCTCAAATACCTCCTCCCACGCCCACCCTTCCTCTGACGTGTTTGACAACAACCCTGAGCCCTGCAACTCCTGGCCTCTTATTCGCACCACTGCACTTGCTTCCAATTGTCCCGCTTCACGCCGTGGCCTTTCTTCCACCTGCAGCACTGCTTCCACCACAAGCTAGGGGCCCTGGAGACCCGCTCTCTCTCTCAGGCTCCCCCGGGGCCTGTGGGGTGGGGGCCAAATGGCCTGGTGGGGCTACTCAAGGAGACCCCCTCAGAGCATGGTATTATTGTATTTAATTTCATCCAACAGATGAGCATTCATTCACAGTAGTGCTCAAATGCAGAAGTAGTCAGCTAGTCCTTAAAGAAGACAATAGTGGCAGACACATCATTTTGCCCTACTGCATTGCCTGTCATGCTCATAACGACTTTTTTTTTTTTAAAAAGAAAAATATAACTCTCTTCCTCTCCAATGTTCAGGTAAGCATCTCTCCAGTTTTAAAGCATTCTGATCTGGCATCAGCAAGGTTATTCCTTCCAACATGGATTGGATGCTACATGAGTGTCTTTATTAAAAAGAATTTGCAGGACTTTGTTGAAGTGGCTAAAATGTAGTTGGAGCACATTTTAATGAAATATCTTTTTTTAAAAAGCCATTAAACAATCTTTGCCACCTCTCCTACCTGTTCCAGAGCAAACAAACAAACAAATAAAACCTCACGATCTTTATTCAGAGAGAGAGAGAGAGAGAGACAGAGAGAGAGAGAGAGAGGATATGATTCTGTCTACAAGGGTCACAGGCAGTTCATAGAGTACACGTTCAGACAAGAGCAAACTGGCACTGAGAGGGTACTAGCAGCAGTATTTTGAATGCTTACTAATGCCTGTCACCAGACCTGCTGTAAAAGGGTCTCTCAACTGCAATCAATAAAAACACCACCCCAGCAGAACCAGTCATTCATTCTGAGGATGGCAATGTGAGTCCTTGAATGTTTGATGAAGCCTTCTCTTATCTAAGATACAGCTCAGAAGAACTGTCTGCCTGTCAGAAAGAAGGGTACAGAGAAAGGAACAGGAACCTGCACATGACAAGAGGGAGCAGCTGCGGAGGATGTAAAATCTGAGAGGAATCATTAGGGTGGCCAGCCATGGAAGTGGCATGCTCACAGTTTCAGAGGAACCACAGAACGGCAATTTGTTAACGGGGGACAGGAGGCAATGGCAATATGTTTTCAAGAGCTTAAAATACAAAGAGATTTAGATCAGATATGGCATGCGTATTTACCACACCCTGGGGGCATCAATGCCACCTGGGGCTTCAGTAGCCAGAGGCTTCAATTTATTTATTCAATAAATAATCAATTATATAGGAATCTATGTATCACTCTCCCAGGACGGAAAAGAGAGAAAAACTGGTATTCCAACTGGAGATACAATTTTTTCCCTCAGCACCACTGCAAGGATATTCAAGAGCTACCTTTCCTTGCAAGGAGGAAAAGTCTCGTTTCTGGGGTGGGTGGGGTGGAAATCTTCATATGTTTTATTTCCTTACCATTATATCATAGTTACTGCTGCTTCAAAATATTTATAAACACAAATATGCCTTTCATGTTTTCTTCCAAAGAGAAGCAGACCGCACAAGTGTAAATTCAATGTAATTTTCTACAGGGAGACACATTTAAAAATAGCTAAAATATTTTGGAAAATGACAAATTTATCTATTCAGTTTCTGATGCACACCACACACATATTAAAGACATTCTACATCCTAAAGGATCAGTGATAATGACATCATACAATGGTAAAAGCATGAAACCCAGAGGCAGGACATTTTTCCCCCAAACCAAGATCTTTTTCCTCCTCACAGTAAGACGATCCCTAAGCAGATATGTGATGGTAATCCAGGAGGGAAAAGTCACCTTACCTGGAACCTTTAATTGTCATTAGTCCATAAGACCCACAAGCTTGGACACCAAAATCCCCTGTGGTGATATTCTGTCCAGGTCTTGGCCTGATTCCCAGTGGCTAAAGAGCTTTAAGTCATTAACTCTATTTACACACCCATTTCTTTAACTGAAAAGATTAATAAATTAGGATGTTTTTTTAAAGGGAGGCTTTCTGTGACAGGCCTATAAGATTCGTGACTCATTCAACACAGTCCTTCAGTCAGTAGGGCATGGATGGGCAACTGTATTGGTTTAAGGGCACTGGCTCCCTTGTAGCCCTGCAGGCTTCTCTTGCTGTTGTTACTCTTGTTATACTGGTTCTGTTGTGCAGAAGGGTGCCAAAGCATTTTCCCACAACACCACAGAGCCCTACAAGACCTTAAGACACGTCATCTTATTTTTTATTCCATCACTAATGTAAGTGATGTAAAGCTAAAAACAAGATAATATAATATGATTTCTGGAACCATTGGAGCAACAATGGATTAGACAGAATGACCATTTGGCAGTGGTGTGGGTCTATGTGGGGTTGCAAAAAGGGGCGCAGCGTGCGCCATACATAAAGATTCACAATGTATTTCATAGCCTAAACTTGTTAAGCAGAAAGTGACAGGGTGGTAGGCCACTATACAGGATAATATTATAAAGGCCTACTTCATGATAACTTAGCAAGGAACGGCTTGTCCATGCAGGGCAGAGTGGGCAACTTGGGGCATTCTGGATGCTCATAGCTAATCATTATCCTTCAGCCTTGACTATTCTGGATAGGATGCCTGGGAATTGCAGTCCTTAAATACAGTGGAATTTCGACTTATAAACGTCCCTGTCTACGAACAATTTGACTTATGAACCGCTCCATTCTCAAAATTTTGCTTCAATTTGCGAATAGAGTTTTGACTTATGAACAAAAAAAGTGTTCTGTTTAAAAGGTGTTCCCTCCCCCCTCCCTCCTTTCCTGCCCCTTTTTTGACCTAAGTTCATCTTAGGTCAAAAGAAGAAAAAAGAAAAAAATTCTCCCGCTAGTGGTAGAGTATGGATTAACTGGCTTTGCATTCGTTCCTATGGGAACTGATGCCTCTACTTGTGAATGGCGCTTCTAGATAAGAACGAAACACAGCCAGAATGGATTAAATGGTTTTCAGTGCATTATGGGGAATTCTGCTTCAACTTACGAACATTTCGACGTACAAACAACGTTCCAATACGGATTACGTCTGTAAGTCGAGGTTCCACTCGAGCCACCATTTGTCTGCCCCAATATACAGTATGAGCTCTGGAAAGTCAACTGCTGTTGCAGCATTGCATGAAAGCAGGAAATTGCATGCTGGAAGCCAATTTGTGACCATCCTGACATGTTGCGTGAGTGTAATGAAACACATTATTAATACTAAATGTATTTAAAATTAAATAATTTAATTTAAAACGTAATTCTGAGTACACTGCAGGAACAGCATATGTTCAGACTCATTGCCTTACATGAAAAAGCTGTTGGGACAATAATCTTTACACAATAAAATTCCCAGGTATGTTGTTCGGTAAGTAGTTAGGTAGGTAGTTAGAAAGGAAGGAAAGAAGTCAGTTCTGCCACCATCTATATGTTATGATTTCTCCATATGCCTACTGACACTCAAGCACACTACAGGTCTGAGATGACCAGATGAATTTCCTGACAAGATCCTCAGACCACTACCGGACCCACATTCTCACGCAGTGCTAGCCAGAAACTATGGAAGCGGCAAGCCTCCAAATGGGTGCCTGAGTATACCTTGTGACGGATGGATCTTTACTTTTGATACATGCACTCAGATTAACGCTGAACAGAAAGAAAGCTGACTGAGGCAGAACTCGCTTACTCTCCTTTAAGAGATTGATTAACACCCATCAATCCCTACAATGCAGTTCTTTTCAATGGTGTTTCATTGCTATTGAGAGACAATAACGCAAGAGGAGGCGGGGGGGCTGAAAGTTTTATTGTGTTGTTTCACTTACAGAACAGGGGTGAGGGGTCCAGACAAGACACTTTCCCATTTCAAATTCTCCTTTGTTTCCTTACGGCACTAATTCCCAACCTTGGGTCCCCAGACATTCTTGAACCATGCTGACAAGCCACTAGCCATGCTGACAAGAGCTTCTGGGAGTTGCAGTCCAAGAACGTCTGGGGACCCAAACTTGGGAGCCAATGCCTAATTCTGTTTTACACCCCGACCCCCACCCCCCACATATACCCACACTCCTTCAGGTGAAAAAATTGTAATGCTGCAAATATAGTTTGCTTCTGTTAGGTGGTGTACAACTAGTAATTTATGTTGCTGTGATGGAAAGGCAGCAGGGAATCATCAGGCCAGCTATAATTTAATGTCAATTAAGCTCCCGTAAAGAGCGCTGTGCAGATGACAGCATTACCCAGTGAGAATGGTACCTGGGATATTGTCAGAGCAAACAGAGAATTGAGCCAAAGAGTTCCAAGTGTTTATTTAATCCTTGCTTTAATCATCCAATGAAAAACTGAAATAGAGAGTGTTTTATATTTCCTAGCAACATCTGATCATCAAGCCTAGCCTTACCTTCACCACCATGGCTGCATAGGTTACATCAGCTCTCCATGGCTGTGGAACCGACCATCCTACCAAGGGATCTGCTTCATCATTGTATACAGGCACGGAGATGAAACTTGGGAAGATCTTCTGGATCTGTCCCATGGCTTCAGTTTCCTGTTCTAGGATGTGAAGTGAGCTCCCAGATCCCTGCGGTAATAAATATTGTTATGACTATTGTTACTGATTAGATCCCTAGCTTGTTCTATCCCCCACTACAGGACTCCAATAGGGACTGCAAAAAGGTACTCTATCCAAAGCATCTGAACACTCTAAAGCCGAATATAGAGATGCTATGACATATGAAAATGGGAATCTCTACAAATTGTGATGGACAGCTTTTCATTATGCATTTTTAGAATCTCTACAAATTGTGATGGACAGCTTTTTATTGAATGAAAGCAAATAGATATGAACATTCAACTGGGGACAGGAAGTTTTTTTACATGTCCTGAGCCATGTTCCTCATGTCTGACTCCTGACCAATCAAAACATGGAGCTGACCTTCTTATGCATAGCAATATAGTCCAGCCGGACACCTGTCTCTCCAGTGAAGAAATTTGTTCCGTTGTAGCAGTGACTCAAGAGGTTCCAGCACATTGGGGACTTGGGGAATGGGTGGAAGGAGTCTCCTGGACCTCCAAATTTCAGGCGAGGGCTAGCTTGTCTTAATCCTTCAGAGCAAGCATCATAGTAGTTGAGAAAACCTAGCAGTCAAATAGAAGAATCATCACAGACTCTGTGCACTTAGACAGCAATGTCTTGAGATGAGATGAAGAAAATGCCTTGCCATTCAAAACATATTAAATATGTTACAATTCAGCAAAATAAGAACTATTGTAAGGGGACTTCTTGAAATCTGTGACTGGATCATGTCTTTTAGATTACAGGCTCTGCTTGAGATTCTAGTAGCTGCAATACATTTCTGGCACACACTATTAAAAACACCTTTTAGCCATCCTAATTGCAGATAAATGTACTCATAAAGTAGTAGTATCATTTGCAGTGCCACAAGTTTTTTTCTCTTTTTGCTTTGTTTTCGTTATACACGGTGAACAGACTGGTTGTCATATGAGGTTTTGCTGACTGGATTCTCCTTCTGCAGGTGCATAACTTACTACAGCTAGCTGGCAGGCACACTCAGTACTTCTCTGTCAAAAGGCTTGGGAGGTACAGTAGGTCTGTCCCCACAAACAACTTCCTAATCTAGGTCAGTTCCTTAGCAGCATACTGAACAGCAAAGGAGATGGGGCTGCTGTGTCCTTCAGTAAGCTGAGCAGGGCCCATAGACACCAATTTACATTCTACTTTACATGCATAGCTGCCAATTCTGTTCTCCTTGGCTTATGAAATATGTCCAAATCTCCTTTTTCAACAAGAAAATAAGTCAAAAGATTCATGGTTTGACAAACAGGCTAAACCAGGAATGGAAATGTTGTCCCTGCCTGCTGTAAAATACTTCATTTGTATAATTTACTCAGTCGTATCTCAGTAATATACCTGGAGTAACCTTTGTACCCAAATGGGTAACTTATGTATGTTGACTAAGCTTTTAAGAGCTTGAATGGTAAAAGGACCATCTATGTGACAGAGCAATCATGTTAGGCTTTTACAAGAGCTAAGATGGAACATGTATTTATCTTTTTCCAGCAATCCTGACCTCTCAACTCTTCTTTTTCCACTCTCAGTTAAAAACAGGAAGGATGCAAAAACAGCTTACCATTAATTGTCATTGACACATTGTCAAAGTCATGGTGATCTGGCTCATTCCAAGTTTCGAAATTCCATTTAGAAACATGTTGTAGTCCATACCGCTCTAGAGGTGAAACTTGTATTAATTATATCTTCATAACATTATACAATACTGTTTCATTTGTCTACAAACAAACATTTCAGCTGAAGGGCTATTGTTACAAAGGTCTCTTCCAGTGGAACTATCCGCCTCTGAGCATGTGTTCGTGCACAACATCAGCCCAAGACAGGAGCACATGCACGGGCAGGCTCCCAAATTTGGCCGAGTTTTGCTCTACAGTCCTCAGAGTCCTACACTTTGGTCCCAAGCTGTTGTTGTCAAATCCACTAAGCTCTAACTAGTCTGGGCTACTGTTCATTGCTTATATATAAAAAAAAACTCCTTAGTAATGTTTCCAAATTCACCTGATTGCTACCTTATACAGTTTATTAGATACAAAGCATTCAAACTGAGGGCCACAGAAGCACAGAATAATAGCATTGAGAGCCAGAAGGGAGCCCAAGAATTGGGTCCAATCACTTGCCAAAGAAGGAAATCTATAGTTCAAACATCCCTGGCAATTGGCCATTCAGCGAGGTTACAATAAGGTTCAGTAAGAAGAACAATGGACATTTAGACAAATTAAGTTGTTTTTGTGCCAATATTTAACTAACAAATGCCAACTTTGTTAACTCACCTATGTACCTTCTGGCCAACTGTGTAATCAAGTTCTTCCACTGTATCACCTGGATTTTATCTTCAAAGTCAGTGAAGTAACCTGAAGGACTTCCCATCAATTCGAACCCTTGGTTTAGGACAGCAGACAAAGACACCAAATACTTTTTAGCCTTGTATTAATAGTGTTTTCAGTTCACAAACGGCAACCGTCCTTTAGTCCTGATTTGGGCACCCAAGATCCACATAACCTGCTCTATGTGCCAAAAGGACTAAAGGCAAGTGCAATGTAGAAGGCTAGGTTAGAAGCCTGTTCTTTGACAACCCAGTCTTCTTTTTCTTTTTCTTTTTCTCCTCTCCCTCTCTCTCGTTTAATGGAGGAATGTCCCCTCACATCAGTCAACAAGTTCAGTCTGAAGTGGTACAGCCCAACACAGCTTTCCCTTAGAAAAAGCTTTCACTCTCTGTGAGAGGTAGAGATGGTTCTTGCCTGTTCTTGAATGTTAACAAGACACTCGTTGATGGCCATATCCTGACTAACTCCTTTACAGTGTTTTTAAGAACAGCATAGAGGAGCCATACCTCTGCAATAAAGCACACACTTTACATGCAGGAAATGCCATCTCTGGATAAACCCATTGCCCCTCCCCGTAAACCCCCCCAATGGGCTTGCTCATCAACAGCTGCATTCTTCCTGTATACTAGACACACCATATGGCTATCAGGTGTCACATTTTCACAAGCAAGCAAAGCTCACACATTGTCATTTTAAAAGTTGTTCATATAGCCACTCACCTACCAGTGTAAGCTAAACATTTTCCTGGAAATAATAGGCAGCCATTTGGCTGATTTGGGCACATAGATTTTGCTTCTAACATTATTACACAGACTGCAGAAAGCCTAAACATCCCTTTGCCCTTGAGACATGACAAAATTCCCATTAGAGATGGTGAAAGTTTAACTTAAAGTGAATTGTAACACTAGCTTGTTGAATTCCTGTAGCTTTCAATGGGAGCCAGCCACTGAACAGAACTTGAAATAATGTTGACCACTGTACAGAATTCAAAGTATTTGTAGCTAACAATTAAACAGCGGAACTCAGAATGGAGAAATGTACCTGGATGTAGCTTGTTTTCCCAGAGAAGATCCATGAAATTATCCAAATTAGTGAAATTGTAATGAAGTGTTCCATTTGCCACCCTGAAAAAGAAAACATGTTCTATTAGATCAACTGCATTAGATCAACTTCCCATCAGACACCAAGGCTATGAGTTGTTCCATATATGCATATTATTTCCTTAAAGGTGCACCATATGAGGACAAGCCATGATACCTCCCAACTCTAGACAGAATCTTTGTGCCACCTACATTACCTTAAACACCATAGTTTTGCAGTAAATCTGTACATATAGCCATGTGCTGAACAATTAAAGATGTATGCACATGTACAAACTGGCCTTAGGGAATGTAGAAGCAGTCACTTAACACACACACACGTCTATGCAAATTGTATGATACTGGTGGACATTAACATACTGTATATCAAATCAATAGGTTCACTTGCATGAAGTAGTTGAATTGGAAGAGTTAAACACAACATTATTAAAAGATACCACACACATTTTTAGGATGTAATTTAATTTTCTTTGTTCAACAATCTCTTCCTTTCACTATTACATAAACAGGTAATGGATAAACAGGCTGAATGAAAACTTTTCTAGATAACCGAAAATCATGGGAAGGATTCAGTAGCTAGATTACCAGAAAATGACAAAATACTTTGGGCTTGTAACGCAGAAATATCATGTTCTGCACATTTAGGTTTGGTGTTTCCATCTTTTGTCTGATTTTCGACTGTATACTACTGAAATATTTATTTGGACTATGGATAAGAACAGGTATAATTAATAGTATTTTTGTGTCCAGTGAATAGAGCAAAGGTGATGGGCCAACTTCATACAAACATTATTCAATATATATAGAAATGAAATTGTGAAAGGATTTTCAGTGTCATCTTTAGCAATATATATATAAGCTCAAAGAGCACGAATAGAGCAAAGGTGATGGGCCAACTTCACACAAACATTATTCAATATATATATAGAAATGAAATTGTGAAAGGACTTTCAGTGTCATCTTTAGCAATATATAAATAAGCCCAAAGAGCATGAGGAGTCAAAACATTCAGCTGGCCAGAAGTAACATATCCTTGTGGGGGAGCTCTTCCGGGTCCTGGAGAATCTACCCTCTGCTTCTGTTATTTGGGACCCTTCTCGCCTGCAGCACTGCTCACTACCGATATATATATCAGCTGCTGTCAGTATTTGGCGAACTAAGGAGAACCATGTGTCAAACAGTGAATGTCTGACAGGACAGAAGACAAATGACATTTTTATTCATGTTATCCGTACTGGGCTAGAGTCACACTTGGAGTAGATTCACTAAAATCAGTGGGACAATTTAATCATAAATAAATGTCATTAATTTCAGCTGACTGGCTGTAAGCATATCTGGATCCAAAAGCTTCTTAATGGAATTGAATGATACGTGGAACAAGTTTACAAACTGTATGGGCCAGCTACAGAACATCTTTTTCCATCCAGACTTTGTATGCTACTGAGGAAAGATAAGGCCATACAATAGTGATATACAAGAAGCAGGCGAGAAGGGTCCCAAATAACAGAAGCAGAGGGTAGATTCTCCAGGACCCGGAAGAGCTCCCCCACAAGGATATGTTACTTCTGGCCAGCTGAATGTTTTGACCCCTCATGCTCTTTGGGTGAATCCTGGCACCAGTTTAAGAGGCTAATATGCTAGGCAAAGACCATGAACCCTAAAGTTGCTAGAAAACCTCCAGAGACTTCTATACAAACATTACTGCTGTACAAAGCAATGCCCAAGTCTTACAGTTGCCAACCATGTAGCATTTTCCTGATCTGATCAGTGAACAGTGTTCTGAAGTGCTAGGCTGAAAGAAAGCTCCAGGCTTAGAAAGCATTTTCCTGATCTGATCAGTGAACAGTATTCTGTGAAATCTGAAGTGCTAGGCTGAAAGAAAGCCCCCGGCTTAGAGTAAGAAGTCCTCTGAGCCAATAGGATTGGAAAATACCATGATGGGCAAGGATATAATGGTACTAGCAGGTTTTTACCCATGTTATACTGCAGCCTAACTGATCTGATCCAATCACAACCCAACCAATGTTTAATTTGAAAGCAAGAACGGAAGACAGACACACACAAAAGACCCAAGTCCAGAATGAACAACTTCATTCACCTTTTAGCATTCAAGCATAGCTTTATAAATAAGTCAGTGTAGCAAAGATCAAAAAACACAGAAAAGGCTGTTCATTTGACTCAAAGCTGCAAGGGGAAGGGGAAGCTTCCGATTTAAATTTCTGTCACACGTGTGTCCCATTATTCTCCACCCCTTTAAAAACAAACAGGACTCTCACCACTGAAAACCAATAATATTGCAAATCGCCACTGTGATATCTCCCTATAAATACGCCAGGCACTAAAGATGCAAAACCACAAGCAAAAGAAGAGTCTTCAGGCTGACGGAAACACGGCCTGCAGTTTCCCACTTCTCAGTCAGCCTCGCTCTGTTAGTTGATCCCTTCTGCTTCCTTCGGTAGTGAGTGCGCACAGAAATGAGGCCGAGCGAGAGGCAGGGAGAAAAGAAGAGAGATGCGAACAAAGAATCATTCGCTTCTCTGCCCGATGGAGGTGAGTATGCCTTCTAAGTCAGCATGAAACGTATTCATTGTGGCTCAGTGTTTTAAGGCATCACTTCTAATGCTTTTGAAACAGAGAGACAAGCCAATAAAACAAAGCAGATTGGTTTTCCCCCACCCTGCCTCCCTGGCTTTTTAAGCAGAAAATATCTGTATTGGGAGGATGCTGATCAGGAGCTTCAGGATGTATAATAATCTGAACTGTCACAGGAGGTGCTTCAGGATGTATCATCTGCGTTGTCACAGGAGGTGATGCAGCTGCACACTGCCAGGCTTTGATAGGCAGCAGAGAAAACAAATCTGCTTTCAATCTGAGCATCCTTCTGTTTTTGCTTTTTTACAGCAGACATGCACAAGATAAATGGATATTACTTGTACTGATTCTGCATATTGACACATGACTTATCAAATAAATCCTGGTGTTAGATGTAGCATCAGTAAATACCCAGCAGCAATCTTTTTTTTTTTCAAGCTCTCCCTGCTGGTTGGCATGGGAATGGATGTTTGGAATTATCTCTGTACCATTTCCCCTTCATGTAACAGGTGGTAGATAGCTTAACAAACTTCAAACAAGAATGAAAGAGTTAGGTTCTTTCTTTACAGGTTCTCCTTGGACCGAAAAAGAAAGCACTTAATTAGGGTGTCCAAAACTTTGAGAATAATTAATTTTATTTATTGATTTTGATTATTAAACTTATATACCACCCATCTAGAATGTGTCTACTCTGGGTGGTTTACATAAAACAGAATAATCTTTTAAAGAGGAACTTTTCTACTTTACAATTTGTTATGTTTTAATTTTTCACCCATCTAGCTTCCCGCTAGATGCACAAAGTAGCTATTGCAAAAGCTGGGGGTGGGAGATGGGGAGTTAACATGACTTTAAAAACAAAACAAAACTCTGAAGCTTCGAAAGTAGGATTTTTATCAAGAAAACAGGATGATGGGAAGGGGTTAAGAGCTTCCAGTGCCACCATGTTTTGACTGGAATTCAGCTGCATTTAAATAGAAAAGAAAATATCAGATAATCATGATGTTATAGATGTCTGTGATGCTTTTATGTAGAGATCAAGACTATACAAATAAGAACACAAACTGTAACCACAGTCATAGAAGATAACACAATCATCCTAACTTTGCTAGGCTAATTTAACCACTGTCCTGGTTAAATTATGCTTGGTCTTGATTAAGCCCTAAATGAATACAGTCAATACTAGCTTAGCATTATAAAATGAAAGGAAGAAATGGGAACAAGCTCCCTGAGGTATAGCTCAAAGAATTAACTAGCACAGACACACTTCCAAGAAGTTGACAGTTTGCTTCCCTCTACAGGTATACAAACATATCTGCTGCCTGGGGCATATATCACACCCTACTCCACGCGGAGTCTCACTCTGCTATACACTCACACTATTTTCCAGTATCCAACACTATGTGGCTCTATAGAAGGTATGACATTGATGCAACTCCTATATTGAGTAGGCAATTTTGATGGGTAGAGGAAGCCATTTCAGCCCCTTGGAAGTTACTGGTGGCTTCACCTCAATACCACCACTTTTCAACACCGAAACATGGCAGTGGAAGTAGTTGAAAAACCTCTGTTCCCCCTTGTTTTAAACAGCACCATGACTCCAGTAGGTACACAAGTATCCTTTGTCACAATATGTGTGTGCTTCGTACACACTTTTTTCGACACAAACAATGCAGCTTGAAATGCAAATAGAGCTGTGGAGCCTTGTTGGGCTTCAAGAGCACGCAGGCGGCACATGTTACCCACCCCGCTTGATAGAGACAATGTATGATCTTTTAAATTAGTGGTTCCTAAACCTTGGGTAACCCAGATGTTCTTGAACTGCACTTCTCACAAGCCTCTCAAGGTTCGGAACCACTGTATTAAATAATAGATGCCAGAACCCAATAAGGTTGTTTCTTCGCTGCCTCAAGGCCAGGCTTAGGTTGGTGCAGGGAGTTGCAGGGGGAGGAAGTGGCAGGAAAGGCCCATTGCATGCATGAACAGGTAGCACCATGACACTGGATTTAAGCCACAGTACTTCCATACACATCCAATATTCTCTAGCCTGCTTTTCCATTTAAAAAGACATTTCCCAAAGGACATGTTTAAAGAATAACAAGTATTAATGAATAAGAGCACATCATTCACTGTACATTTACCAACTACTGAATAATCCAAGGTTCAGAAATACTGTACCATTCTTTACAGCTGGCCTGCATTGAACTTATGTTACTGTCTATGATACCGTTTTCTAGATGTACTGAATGTGCAAGCAAGGTAATTTAATGGGCCAGGCAAGGTAATTAGAAGACACATGAAAAACTAAGATACAGTATTTTCAAAGACAAAAGCAGTCTTCATGATTTTGTTGGCTGTCTGTATTTCATTGAATTTGGCATCCTAAGCAGACTCCCTTCGGAGGAAGTGACAGTGAGGCTTCAACAAGGAAGCCTGAATAATAAAAATGTGTTCCAGAGACAAGAAAGAGTATGATTGTGAGTTCATGTCTGTTTCAATATATTTTTCAGAGCTGGTCAAGCGCCTTTTGACTGGTTAAGAAAGATTCACTCAGTTGTTTAATAAATACTTTCATACAGTCTATGCTTAGCAGTGAATTTTCTGCTGGACTAAATGCCTTTGAGGTCCCTCCCAATAAAGCAATTTCTTGTATTTATATACAGTGTGTATTTATAATTAATCCATGCAGCAAAAATCGTTGCAAAGCGATTTCGTCGGTATGCGAAAATAAAAAGCCCATAGGAATGCATTAAAACCCGTTTAATGCGTTCCTATGGGCTTAAAACTCACCTTAAAGCGAAAATCCTCCATACGGCAGCCATTTTTGCTGCCCGGTAAGCGAGGAATCGGTGCGAAAACACAGCGGGCAGCCATTTTTTTTACCCGGCGGCCATTTTGGAACCGCCAATCAGCTGTTGGAAAATCATCGCTATGCAAAGCGATTTTTCTGTATTTAAAACATCGCAATGCGACCGCTTTTGCGATCGCAAAATCTTCATCGCTATGCGATTTTGTCATTAAACGGGGCGCCCATTAAGCGAGGCACCACTCTGTGTGTGTGTGTGTGTGTGTGTCTGTGTCTGTGTGTGTATATATATTAATTATTATTATTTGCAAAAAACAAAATACCCTTTAGTTCACCAACAGGCCTGATACCTGTCTTAACTATATATTTTTTCATTTTAAAAACGTTCTTTTCCATTTTATTAACTTTTAAAAATTATTTAATATATGTGAAAGTTAATGAATTCTTAGACTTAGCTTCTAATATACAGTATTTATGTTGCTCCACAATGACCAGGATAGCTTATGAAAGAATTTTTTAAAAAAGAAAAATGCTAAGCACTACAAAAGGCAATGAAATAGCACAGAACAAGATAATAACAATAAAATCAATAGCAAAGTCTCACAGAAGCATCAAATAATTAAAAACGAATTAATAAAATATTCTTTTTTGGCATTTCAACAAAGATCAGCTTTTTGAGACATCCACCTTCTCATCCTGCCAAATGATAGGGTTGGCACTGGATACAAAGGTATGCTGTATTCTTGGCTCCACAGAGTAATTTGACAATATTTGACCACGGTCAAATAACAAGTGGTTAACTGTCAACATCCTGGGCAGCTTATGCATCAGTGTGCCAACCTAATTCTTGGAAAAACAAAACAAACCAAGCAATTTTTGCACAAGTTAAACAGACCCTGCTAATCAGGTGAAATATTAGTCGAATAAAATATTAGGAAGAATTGAGCCTAGTACCAGGAACTGACCACTCAACTGATTAGAGGTCAGAAGGAACAAAATGTCAACACCTCCTATTCTTTCCTCAGAAGGCTTTCAGTAGCAATGTAATACAATATACAACAGCATTCCTCAAATTTGGGGACTGCATTTACGAGCACTACAGACGGCTCATTGTATTAAACTGCAGCAAAAATGACCAATTGGCAGTCTGCTATCTAGACGGGGATCCCAAATGAATTTTATCTAACCCCTGACAGCTGTCACAAACTTTAATAAGGAGGTGATTAAAAGGCTGCCTACAGTTGATTGGAAATGAAGGAGAAAGGATCTCAGCACTGAAAGGGAGGAGAAACAGGTGCACTTTAGAATAGCCCACCTTGTTTGTGATCTTATGAAACTCTACAAGTACATGGCTCAAAGATAGAACAATTTTACTCTGCAATTATTATTATTTTTTCATTTTTTAAAAAAATCACAATTATTTGTTTTTTGTTAATTATACATCAGTCTGAGGACGGGTGTGGGTATTGTTGTTTAAATAGGTACAAAAAGAAACCCACACACTTGCAGAGGTTTCACACATTTCAACAGGGCTGTGCAGATGTTACTCCTAAGAAAACGTAGTTCCACCTTAGCAGTCAGCAAGTGGTTGCTCTCATCATAGGGCTGCATGGCTGGAAGATTACAGCTACAATCCGACATATGTCTCCTCAAAATTAAGTCCTTTCAAAGTCCAATGGGATGCAGTCTCACTAAGATGCTACGGAATCATAACCAGAAGCATGCAGCAACATAGTCTGGGAGCCATGTTCAAGCATTTGCCACTGTGTCTGGGAAAAGATGAGCCTCAAGATTTTTTTAAAATATACAGTATTCCATCAATAATGTAGTGTGCAAAATTATGATACTGAATGAATCTCTTGGCAAGAGATGTGACACCCATTGGGTCACCCAAGAGAGTTAGATAAATTTACTGAAGACCAGTCTGATAGTGGTTGGCAGTTAAATTATAATGCAACTGAAATGTCATGTTCAGAGTCAAGGCATTTCTGGGTACAAACAAAAAGGGAAGTCTATATTGAGAACTAGGAGCAGGGCCTTGTAGGAAGCAGGATGCTGGGCTAAATAAAGCTTTGCTCTGATCCGGCAAAACAGCGCTCGTGTGGTGTGCCCACTCTCATCTCTTGTTGAAGGCTAGGCCTCACATTCGTCCAATCTATAGTTAGATGTGCCTCCATCAAAGCTCTGTTGAGGACATCAAAATGGATTCCTAGTTCTCTCTCCCACAGACATATGTACTGTGCATCCATAATCAAGCACCTTTGATCCAAATTGCAAACTCACATGAGTTTTTGATACTATAGCCATGTTGCGCTCAAAGGGGCTGCCAGCCCCATCCTAACACCTGGTGGTAAGGGAACATGCTGAGGAACTACAAGTCATTGTTGCTTCTTGGTTCATGCCCATGTGTGTCTAAATGAAGTCTCCATTCCACCTTCAGTGTTCAGAGACTCAGGCACCATTGGTGTTTGCTGAAGAGCTTTGTAAATCCACATCCAACCATATTTCAGACTGTGAGGGGTCAAAATGTCTTTGACAAAAATTGTAACAGTCTAACAATTTCTATGCCAGAGATTAATTACCCCAGTTTGCATGCGAGAAAAACACACTCAGCCTTCCATCCTTCTGAGGTTGCTAAACTGACTACTGCACCCAGTTTGCTGGGGGGGGGGGAGAAATGTATAGCCTGCATACAGTAATTAAATTGTAAACTACCCAGAGTGCTTTAAGTGCTAAGTGGCAGTACATAAGCAGCAGACTTTATTTAGTATGTTTGCAAATTAAAACATTATTATTTTTTTCTTCCATTATTCCAACAGGCCAAAATGTTAGGCTTTGTAAGGTATTTTCCAGGTAAGTGTGTTTATATTTATTAGCAAGGTTTTTATGATATAATTCTTAACTAACTGTGGTCATGTGGCATCTTATCTCACCCTGTCATATTTCAATATACTTTTTTCTTGTACACTATGCCTCTTCGTATAGCTGCCCTTCAACGAATAACATTTATAAAGGAAGAGTCTTTGTTGTAAAATCATTGTGCTTGCATGGGAAATTACTGTGGCAGTCCTATACTACTGCAATATTTCGCAGCTTTCTCTTCACCTTCTAAAGCTGCAGACTCCTCACTGAAGTATTCTTTTTCAAAGGCATCTGTCATTCTTATATCTCTTCTGTGTAGTTCTTCAGTTTATTATCTCTAACTTCTTTTTATTTTATACTTGCTATATATGTTCCCCTTCTCAGCGTTCAGCATCCTTAATCTTAGTTTAAATTTCCCTTTGATGTTTGAATCTTTTGTCTTTTTCTGTCCTCTTCTTCATTTTTTTTGCAATGAAAGAATAATTATCTTTGTATATGCAAGCCAATGAAAAGTTGCACATAAGATTCCGATCCTATTTCTGTCACTGTTTACTTCTGCTGTCAATAATAATTTAAGAGTTTCACCAATAATTCACAGAAGCTTCCCCCACCACCGCATTTTTTCTATAGGAATAATTTTCCTCCTCCTCCTCCTCTTCTTTTGCAGTCTTCCCTGATTATACTTTGTATTTGTCTACAGCTCTTACTGTTCATAGTCAACTGAGTTTAATACTGTAATGCAAATCTATTATTTACCTGGTCTTTAAGTACTTCAGGGTTGTTATTTAAATAATGTATATGTATATGTATATGTATATGTATATGTATAAATAAGTGTATGTCCCAGACAGACACTTAGCAATTTAAAACACAGAGTATGAAATCCTAGATAAACAACACAGGCAGGCCACGGGTAGAAACCCATTATTTCAACCTAGACTTGGCTAGACCATATGTCAGGAATGGGGAAGAATCTTGTCTGATCTAACTGAATAAGCTCATGGTTTGCTACTTCACCCTTTTTCATAGAAAGGTGAAATGAACAGTTGTAATGCTGATGAGCTAAAAAAAACACCCCCTTANGGGGGGGGGGGGGGGAGCCCTGAGGCAGGAAGTAGTAGACACTTAGGAGCCAGTACATTCAGAGCACTGTAGTTATCACACATGCCATTTTGAAATGTAATAAAACACATCAGACTGTTTTTCTGCATCCCAGAATTTGCTGCACATGATTTATTTTAGTGGCTGAAATCCATTAGTAAGTCACAACTAGACTAGACCACTGAATCAGTGGAAAGTACATAGGTGTTGATTCACCCAATCCCTACTGATTCAATGGGTCTCCTCTAATTGTGATTTCCTAGTGGATTTCAGCCAGTGGTTCCTATATATGTATTTTTGATCTCCCAAAGCTCAGCTGTTGCATTGTTCCCCCTTGGTACCTAATTTCCCCACTGACTAGACTACATTTATTTATATTTTTCAGCGGAGTGGATTTTTAGCCATTCACACGTGGTTGTGCTTCACTTATCCAAAATTGCGCCACAAGGATGGCTCAGCCTTCATTTTGCACTCATCATGAGACTCATCATGAGCCAAAGTGCAAAACGGATTTGTTATCCATAAAACTGGTAATTTTGTTAAGAATTTCAATTTCACCCCTACTACTAACTAGGTGTAATATTTAGCCAGCTACTTACATTGAACCAGCTGAAAGTAGTTCTTCTTTGAAGGAACATCTCCTCCAACTCCTAGAAGAAACACCCAACCTTGCTTCTACTGCCTTGTTCTACCTTACTGGCCATTCACAATATCTCCAAGTAACAGCTGGCTCTTGCTTTCAACATGTGTATGTGTGTGAATTATTGTTTGTTGCCGATATCTGCAATCTCATTCCCGAAACTGTATATATCAATATTAATTCATACTGTTAAACCCACTGTGTGCATTTTTAAAAAGGAAAGAAAAAGAAATAGCACAGTGGAGTTTTGCTTAAAATAACACGCACTGCCAAATAGAAGCAAGGTGTCTTGAGTCTGCTTGAAGAGGTTATTTGTGCCAGAGAAAGGGTTTTTCGATAAATTATTACACAGGCTATCCTGTAAAAGGTTACTGCTTGTTTAATATTTGCCACTGAAAATGAACAAGTGATCAGCCAAGTTCAAATGGTTTACAGTCAGGTGGGAGGCAAGTGGAAACAGAGGAGTGGTTCGGGCTCCTGCTTTGTGGTCCCTTGCTTTTGCGCGTCAGTGTTTACCTAGCATGGTCTATTGTTTTATTATGGCACCACCCACAAGGATTAAACCACTTCTACTTTAGCTCTTAGCATTGCTCTGCCTGGATGTCCTGAGCTGCCAACACTGTGGAATTCAGGTGGGATCCTCTGCTGGTACCACGGGAATCATGCAGGACAAAATAGGTAAGAAATGTGGATTTTTCTATCAGATTGCAAGGGTTTGTGTTTCTATGCCAGCATTGCAGATGAAAAGGGAGGAAAGCACAGGCCACAATGCAGGAACAACAAATCCACTGGGGTGATAACGTTTTTATTTATAAGTGAATTATGGACCCCACCATGTCTCAAGAACTGATTCCTATCTCCGCAGTTCTTTACAAGATAGGTAGGTCAGCTGTTCTCAGAAAGTGTATTATATTGAAACAATAGTTCTCTGATTAAGGATGCAACAACACAGTGAAAAAAATGCAAAGAGATCTGCTGTGAAGCCACACACAGGAAGCCAGGTTTCTTAGGTGAATTTGCTTCAGGGGTCAACAGAGAGGAGGAAATAAAACTTATTTGCAGCTTGTTAACCATTTGAACCCTCTCATCCCCACACCTGGTATCCGGGTCCTCTTGTTTCCTTTCTTTGCTTCCCTGCCTGTCCTGTTCTGCTTTTTTCCCTTTTCCTTTTAAAAGCTTTCGATCTTAGTACACCTAGCTAGGTGACCAAAGGGGGAAGGAGGGCAAGGAATCAGCAAGAGGCAGGAGGATGTTTTTGATTCAGCCTTTTCCCAGCCTGTTCAAGTAGCTCTGCTCTGGCTGTCCAGATTTGCAGGATGCACTGTTAGAGCAGAGCTACCTTAAAACCTCCTCATTTTTCTCTGCTGATTCTTCCTCCCCCCACCTTGCTTACCTAGCTGCCCTAGCACTAAGTTAGCAAGCATTTAACAGAAAAGAAGGAAAAAGGGAAGGAAAGGAGAAGAGGATTATTTATTAATATTTACTTATTATTTAAAATTGGATTCAGCCAATTTTCTCATTGCCCTTCATCTCTCACTGCTGCTGTAGCCAGCTCGAATGGCTGCAAACTCTTCCAGGTTGGCTCAAGCAATCATAGCACCTAAACTGATGCAAATACATTTGATTAACAAAGTAGAAGCCCAAGTGGAAGAGGAAAAAAGTACGGATTGGAGAGGGAAAACCCCAGAGTGATTTGCATTGACTTTCACATTGTGTATCGCAGTGGTACTTAACCTTGGCTTAGTCAGGTGTTTTTGAATTGCAACTCCCAGAAACCCCAGCCAGCACAGCTGGTGGTGAAGGCTTCTGGGAGTTGCAGTCCAAAAACACCTGAGTAACCCAAGGTTAAGAACCACTGGTGTAACCAATGGAAAATAGTGCAAATCCAACTGTTCTGAAGCATTTCCTGCATTATTTGTAAAAGTATTTGCTCCTTAAGTCATCCTTGATTGGATCCAGGATGGATAAAAATCAATGACTTTTTTAAAAAAAATCAAATTGATTTAAATCATTCTTTACATTATAAAAATATATTTTTTATTTCAATCATCAAAATCCAATTTTTAAAAGTTTAAATGAAGATTTAAATAGTTATTTAAATCAGTTAGATTTAATTCAGATCCATCCTAATTGGAACCCATGACTTCCCAACCAAAATATTTTCTGAATCCACTAGGCTGTTTCTAAAATGCAGGACATTTCTCTTTAATAAGGTACATATTTTCTCTTTACAAGACACCTTTCAGTGGTGTCCTGTCTTTGAGATGGAGGACAAGTATGAAAATGAATCTTGATAGCAGCAATAATGTGGAACATTCAATCTCATGAATATCTTAAATATGTTCTTTTACTGATCCAAACTTGCACATCAAGTACTGTATATTATTATTAAGAAAACAACCCAGTGCTCTTTTACCATAAAAGGTTTACTGGGGACAAATAGTGGGGACTTTTTAGTTTGTTGTTGTTTAGTTGTGTCTGACTCTTTGTGGCCCCATGGACCAAAGCATGCCAGGCACTCTTGTCTTCCACTGCTTCCTGGAGCTGGGTCAAATTCATGTTGGTAGCTTCGATGACACTGTCCATCCATCTCATCCTTTGTCGTCCCCTTCTCCTCTTGCTATTTGCAACATTAGGCTCCTTTCCAGGGAGTATTCTCTTCTCATGAGATGGCCAAATTATTGGAGCCTCAGCTTTAGGATCTGTCCGTCCAGTGAACACTCAGGATTGATTTCCTTCAAAATGGATACGTTTGTTCTCCTTGCAGTCCAGGGGACTGCAAAGAGAACAAACTGAGAACAAATAGTGGGGACTTTTTAGAAGGATTGTAAAACAACCCTCCCCCATGAAGTGTATTTGCCTCAATGAGCCTTAATATAATTATATAGAGCCCACTTACAGAGCCAAATTTGCGGCCATTCATGACCTGCAGGTTTCTAAAACTGTTGTTGTGGCTTCATTTGTATTTTATTATTTTTTCTACTAAGAGACATAGTCATTTAGAACAGCTGTATAATTATCAGTTTGATGTTTGTGTGTTTCATGTGGTTTATAATCTTGGACTTGAAAGCCACTTTCCACTTCTGGAAGGCAGGAAAGACATCTTTTAAATAAATACTATTTTCCAACATCACCAGTGGATGCTGAGGCTGTGATGACACTTTTTTTCCTAAAGCATTAGTGAGTGCATGGGTAAGATGAGATTCAGAACCAGATCCTGTCTGAGCAGCCACTCAAAACTAACTCTTATGCCTATTCTCATGGCTTCATCATGTGCCCAAAAATGAAAATGGAACCAGTTAAAGCAAAGCAAAGTGTGCTGCTTATATACCAACCCATAGCACTTAAAGCACTCTCTGGGTGGTTTACAATTTAATTATGCAGGTTACATATTTCCTCACCAGCTGGGTGGTTTATAATTTAATTACGCAGGTTACATATTTCCTCACCGGTGAGTTGGTGACTCCGTTTACTGACCTCAGAAAGATGGAAGGCTGATTCCTCCTTGAGTCAGCTATCTGGGACTGAACCCGGGTCATGAGCAGAGTTTTGCCTGCAGCACTGCAGTTTAACCACTGTGCCACAAGATTCCAGCTAATCCTAGCTTCGCATATAAAGGATAACCAAAAGCTACTATGTGAGGATAAAATGTTCAAACTAAACATTTTGCTGCAAATAGGGTATTGGGAAAAGGTGTTTTGCTACATCGTTCATTATGTGCAGACAGATAACAGTGTCAGTGTAACGAAACAGTTAATACTCCAGTCATTACCTTTAAAGCAGAAGTTTAAGATAATGCAACAAAATCAATACTATGTAACATTAAAGGTAAAGGTTCCCCTTGACATTTAGTCCAGTTGTGTCCGACTCTAGGGAGCGGTGCTCATCTCCGTTTCCAAGCTGTAGAGCCCGTGTTTGTCCGTAGACAATTTCCGTGGTCACATGGCCTGCATGTGTAGAGCCCGTGTTTGTCCGTAGACAATTTCCGTGGTCGCGTGGCCTGCGTGAGTAGACACGGAACGCCGTTACCTTCCCACTGTGGTGATACCTATTTATCTACTCACATTTTACATGCTTGCAAACTGCTAGGTTGGCATGAGCTGGGACAAGCAACGAGAGCTCATTCCGTCACGTGGATTCAATCTTACGACTGCTGGCCTTCCGGTGTTTGTCCGTAGACAATTTCCGTGGTCGCGTGGCCTGCGTGAGTAGACACGGAACGCCGTTACCTTCCCACTGTGGTGATACCTATTTATCTACTCACATTTTACATGCTTGCAAACTGCTAGGTTGGCATGAGCTGGGACAAGCAACGAGAGCTCATTCCGTCACGTGGATTCAATCTTACGACTGCTGGCCTTCCGACCTTGCAGCACAGAGGCTTCTGCGGTTGAACCCACAGCGCCACCACGTCCCTTCCTTTAATGTCCCTTTAATGTGACATTAAACAACCTCAATTTTGCTGAGGCTCTCAAAAATCTGATCCTGATTTACTGCTTCTGTTAAACCAGCTATGCAGTCCAGATGCATTACAAGCCTTGTGCTGTTTTTAAAAATTTGAAAATTATATTTGTTGAAATGATTTCCCTGTCAGGGCCCTGTTCTGTGACTCATATCCTCATGTATTGAGAAGGAAATCCTGTGGAGCTCAGTGGAGTGAACTGTCAAAGAAATATAGACAATCTTACTTTCCTCGTGACACAGACTGCTGTTCAACAACAAGTAAACTGGGAGTCCATTTTAAAAGTTTCAACTCAGAAAAGACTGATCTATTCGACACCCTTTCAAAATGTATGTGAGCAGTTCTCATGACCCTTAAAAAAAGGAGAGAGCCAAACTTATTTCAGAATTCTGCTGCTGCAGAAAAATTAGATGTCTCCTAAGGCATAGTGCTGGCTGGATAGCTCAGTGAGTTAGGTCTCTAGCCATGGAGCCAAAGATTGGGAGTTCGATTCTCCACTGTGCCTCCTGGGAGAAGAGCTGTGTGGCCTTGGGTACAGTCCCAGGATGCCTCCAGAAGGGAATGGTAACCCACTTCTGAGTACTCACTATCTAGAAAACCCCAAAAAGGGTTGCCATAAGTCAGAACGGACTTGACAGCACATGATGATGATGATGATGATGATGATGATGATTAAGACAGAGCAATACCTTGATTTGGTGTCAATGTTGCCCTACCAGAGTTTGTCAGGCGAGTTTATTTGATCTGTTTTCTTCCTTTCAAGTGCTCTGCCATGGATGCTAATGGAAATTAAACTGTACACCTGCACCCCAAACAGGACCTAACCTTGTCCTTTTCCCTTCTGTGGAAATATTTCAGAATTACGGGTAGTTATCTAATAGAGAGATTTAAGTGACAGGGAGGCTTCTGCCCACATAGAAATAGATCAGATTGTGCAGTGACCAAAGCACTACATGTGCCTGGATATTGTTGATTTAAATACAGTAGTACCTCAGTTTACGAATTTAATGCATTCTCTGCGACATTACATGAGTTTACGAATTTAATGCATTCTCTGCGACGTTGCATAATGCGACAAATTCATAAACCAAAATGTGGATTATCATGGGAACGGGGGTGGTGCTATAAACCTCCAGGCACAATGCATCCTGGGGAAACTTCCTTCATACTGCAGGAAAAAAATCGTAAACCGAGGCATTATTTTCAATGGATTTCCATTCATAAACCGAAAATTACGCTAACCGAGGCGTTCATAAACCGAGGTACAGTGAACCCTCGACTTACGAAGGTCCACAAAAAAATCGAGGTATGAAAAGCTCTGGCCGAAAAATTCTGGTTCGACCTGCGGCTGGAGCTCGACCTACGAAAGGCAGGGGGAAAGCGGAGTGGCTTTCGGCTTCCCGGGCTTCACAATCCCCTCTGCTGTCCCTGTCTCCCGTCCCTGGTGCCCTCTGCTTCTGGAGACAGAGGGCAGCAAAGGGGCTTGTGAAGCCCAGGAAGCTGAAAGCCTCTCCACCCCCACAGGGACAGAAGGCAGAGGGCACCAGGGATGGGAGACAGGGACAGTGAAGGGAGTTTTGAAGCTCAGGAAGCCGAAAGCCAGCAGCGGGCGTGGAGCGGCTTTCGGCTTCCTGGGCTTCCAGAGCTGCACCCGCTGCCCTCTGTCTCCCGTCCTCGGTGCCCTCTACGTTCTGTCCACACAGAGGGAGACAGAGGGCAGCAGGTGGAGCTCTGGAAGCCCAGGATTTTTTTTCCTTTGCCTGGAACAGATTAAATGGTTTTCAGTGCATTCCTAAGGGAAATAGACCCTCGACCTACGGACTTTTTGACCTCCGGCCACTGTTCCAATACGGATTAATTCTGGAAATCGAGGGTCCACTGTACTACGGTACCAGGGCTTCTTGTAAAAGGACTCTGGAGTATGAAAAAAAAACAACCCACAAATGTTAGAAGTTCATTTAATTTTACTCCAGCGCCCTCTGCTGATACAAAATATATTACTTGCCATTCTAGGTAGCTGCAAAAACTGAAAAGACTATGACAACTCATCCAGAGTTACCTCTTATTTCTCCAATTCGTTTCCAAAGCTTCTGGATGATTTCCCCCCTCAGTATGGTAAAGAAATAATATCTTTGGATTTTTTTCATCCCAGTAATACCCTAATGTCAGTTTCAAAGTAAACAAAACGTGGCCTTAAAAACACAAACATTCTAAACCAATGCAAGCCCCTAATTATATACAAAATGCTTTTCTCTCTAACCTCGGTGCAAAGGCACACGTAATACAACACCACACACAGAAAACCTAACATTAAAAACAAAAACCCAACTACAAGATAATATAGCATGTCTGTAGCAAACACTTTTCCTTTTCGACAACTAGCTTTAATTCTAATTCCTTGGAGAAAAGCTTTTCTGTTCAAATCCATTGAAATCATCATGAGGCCCAAATCCTCCCAGTGCTGCTTGTGATCTTTCAACTGTACACTCCTGCACACTGTCCCACAAAGGCAATAAAAAAGGGCCAATACATTGTTTATAGTCTTGTTTATTATACATCATTGTAAGACCACATGAAAACAAACACAGAGATTATATTACGACTTCTTGAGCTCTAAATTTCCATAGAGCAGCTGAGAGAAATTCATCTGTTTTTTTTAACCTGAAAATTTTGAACTACTGTATACTTAATTTGCCCAGTGTCACTTGGGTGAAGTCATACAAACTGAACAAGTAAAAATCAACATTCTTTTTGAACAAAAGCTATATTAAACCTATTAAACCTATGAGTGACTATCCACTTTGCAATGGGGCTTCCTTCTCCTCTCCTCTCTCTGAAGCCTGATTTTACCCCTCCCTTTATTCCTGAGGTTTTCCCCAAACCTCCAGAGCGCTTTGAAGGCATGTGGCGGGGGGGAGAACCACTGGTGAGGGGAATGACCCAGAAGCTCCCCTCCCCAGAAATACTGCTGCCAGCAGAAAAGAAAGACTTGATTGGGTATCCATCTCAGCGTAAATTTTAATACAAGAAATGTACAAACAAACCAACTTAAATAGTAAACTCTTTTATCCTAGGTACTAATTAAGATATGGTTGGAATGGAAAACAAAATGGAGACACCGAGAATGGAAAATGGATCTCCTTTCCAGTTTTATATGGAAAGGAAGAGTCCCACCAAGATCAGCAAAACAGCCATGATCAAAAGTCAGCTGAGGAAAAACTGTTCCTGTACTAGAGAAACAATGAGAAAGACAGTCGTGGACTTCTTCCCTGTGTTACAATGGCTTCCCAAATATAACTGCAAAGAATACATTTGGGGAGACATTATGTCCGGACTCATTATTGGAATCATTTTAGTCCCTCAAGCAATCGCCTACTCTCTGCTAGCCGGCCTGAAACCAATCTACAGTCTTTACACATCCTTCTTTGCCAACATCATCTACTTTCTCATGGGCACTTCCCGACACGTGTCAGTTGGCATCTTCAGTTTATTAAGCCTCATGGTCGGACAGGTTGTGGACAGAGAACTGATGGTGGCTGGATTTGACCTCAACGATGATCCTCGGGAAGGCATGGATGGTGGAGGTCACTTGAATGTTACAATTTACAATTTTACCCTCAGCACAATGAAGGTGGAATGTGGGAAAGAATGCTATGCCATTGGGGTAGCTACCGCACTGACCTTTCTGGCTGGTGTTTATCAGGTAATCTCTCCCCTCCCTCTGCTTCCTATATTTATACATTTGCTTTCGGAAGGAACTGAAAATGAAAAGAGAATGTGGCTTGGCAGGCCTTCATAGGAAGTGCATTCACTTTTCTCTAAGAGAAATCTACCTTTAAGAGAAACTAAGAGAGAAAAGCTGGTATTATATTTGTATTTATAGCATTTTACGAAAGGAAGAGGCAAGGGTTAAGAAGTAGCAGAAAGGTGGAGTGGGAAAGGTGTACACCTTATACGAAGTCTCAGCGTGGTGAGGGATTGGGCCTCTCCTTCTTTGCCTTTACTCCTAGATGTGGATGCTGCATGTCTCATTGGAAAACGAATTTGGGTAGCCTCTATACAACATAACAACAGTGAGCTTGTGATATAGTCTGTGTACACAAACTCTTATTTCAGTGTGATATACAAGGCAGGGGAGCCATCCAATGAAGCCGAATGGTAGATTATTCAGGACAAAGAGGTACTTGTGTACTGTATACCATTACCACAAGGCATGACAATGCCCACCAAACACCTTTAAAGGGAAACTGGACAAATTTGTCAGGTGAAAGCTGTCAGCACTGCTGGTTGCGATAGCTACATACTACATCCAAGACTGGGCATAGTATTATGTCTCTGAATGCCAGTCACTCAGGAACCGATTGTGCTCATTGCACGTATGTGAGGTTCTAATGAGAATCGTTTGAGATGCTGTGAGAACAGCATACTGGACTATCTCACACAGCCCTTCTTTTGCCCTTATGTCATCAGGCAGGTCTTGAAGTGGAGCAGGCAGGTAAATATGGCTGAGGACAACACAGGATGATGACTGTCACCAAATGGAGTTATACATAGATCAGGATGCTTCTGTGATGGAAGAAATGCAACAAGTCTTTCCATTCCTTTCTTAAATCATCAGAGATAGGAACATATTCCTTCCATATACCAATAACTACCATAACTGTCTGGGGGAATTGTATTCTAGAACTGCATCTATATTTCCCATACAACACAAATTTAGGGGGGAGGGAGAAGAAATTCTATAAAAAGGTGGGAGAGATCTCCTATTGTTAAAGACAGTTCTGTTGTGTCCCGCTCTTCCACTTGATCTTGTCTTTCTTGCAGGTTCTGATGGGAATCTTCCGCCTGGGATTCGTATCGATGTATCTTTCAGAACCTGTGCTGGATGGCTTTGCAACTGGCGCTTCGCTGACCATTTTAACAGCTCAGGTTAAATATCTTGTTGGAATAAAAATCCCTCGCGCCCACGGATACGGGGTCTTAGTAACCACTTGGGTGAACATTTTCCACAACATTTCCCAGACTAATCTCTGCGATGTGATCACGAGCGTTATCTGCATCACTGTGCTGGTCACGGCAAAGGAACTGGGGGACCGATATAAGCACAAACTCAAGATTCCTCTTCCCACCGAGCTGGTGGTGATTGTGGTGGCAACGTTGGTTTCGCATTACGGGCAGCTGAAGGAAATGTATGGTTCCAGCGTGTCGGGGGAAATCCCCACTGGATTTATTCCTCCCCAGGTGCCCAGCCCGAATCTCATGCAGAGGGTTGCCATCGATGCTATCCCCCTTGCTATTGTGGGTTTTGCCTTCACCGTTTCTCTCTCGGAAATGTTTGCCAAGAAATATGCCTACACAGTCAGGGCCAACCAGGAAATGTTTGCCATTGGCTTCTGTAACATCATCCCAGCTTTCTTCCACTGCTTTGCCACTAGCGCAGCCCTGGCCAAGAGCCTAGTAAAAACATCAACAGGGTGTCATACCCAAGTGTCTAGTCTTGTGAGTGCCATTGTCGTGCTGCTGGTGCTGCTTTTCTTGGCACCTCTGTTCTTTAGCTTGCAGAAATGTGTCTTGGCCTGCATCATCATTGTCAGCCTCAGGGGAGCTCTTCGGAAATTCAAAGACGTTCCCCAGCGCTACCGCCTAGACAAAGCGGATGCCCTGGTATGGTGTGTTACCATGCTTTCATCTGCCTTAATCAGCACCGAAATGGGGCTTCTGGTTGGGGTCGTTTTTTCAGCCCTGTGCATTGTAGGCCGCACCCAACGCCCTCATGTGGCCTTACTCGGTCAAATTGGGAACACTGCCTTCTATGAAGACGATGACGTGTATAAAAATCTCTTGCCTATTCCAAAGGTTAAAATTTTCCGCTTTGAAGCACCCCTTTATTACGCAAACAAGGACTTTTTCCTGAAGTGCCTCCACAACAGGACAGGGTTTGACCCTGCTATAGAAATCGCCAGGAGCAAAAAAGCCAAGAGGAAAGGGCAACCAAGTTTTGAGAAGGGACTTGAACAGGGAGAGGCAACATTATCCTTGGTCGCCAAACACCAAGAGGTTAAGGCCATCATCATTGACTGCTCCTCCATTCCATTTTTGGACACAGCTGGTGTGAGTGCATTAAAAGACACGCTCAAAGACCATGAGGAACTGAAGGTCATGGTGCTCCTGGCTTGTTGCAATCCCTCGGTGATAGCTTCTCTGGAAAGAGGGAGCTACATGAGCAGTGGAAACAAAGATAGGCACGAATTGCTGTTTCACAGCATACACAGTGCTGTCGAGTTTATAAACGAGACAAAGACCATAGGAGATGACTCAACTGTATAACCCAAGGCTGTAATTGCACTGACACTTGGCAAAATTTGCATTCACCACTTTTAGGCTAAGGTCTCCAATGTCGATGCTGAGAGCCCTCTTTGGACTTCAAAAGGCAGCATGGAGCTGACTTTCAATTAAAAAAAACTTTTATAAGATATTTAGTAGTACAAACATAACACAGAATACTTTAATCTTAAAATCCAGTCGGCTTTGATGTCATTCACTGGACAATATGGGTAGATCCAGTTCAGACATAACACTAAACCATTGCCGAATGTTATGAGAATGTGCCATGACAGGATTTGGGCATATGTTCTCCCTGCTCCTCCTCCTCCTCACGCATGTGGAGGGCATCAAAAGCTTCTGCTTTCGGTTTCCAACAAGCCACAGTTTCCTGATATATGCAGATTTGAGAAATTGTGTTTTATTCAAAGTATTCAGATTAACAAGACCAATAACAAATGCAAATAACAATAAAGATTCTAAATTATTAGTTCACCACAACCCATCCTCCTAATGTTAAATAGTTTAGTATTATGGCTAATCCAAGCCCTGTGGTCAATCTTTTCTTAGGAAAGAACCAGAAAGTAAAAAATAAAAAATAAAGATCAGGTGCCTTTGTTAATGAAGTCTTTTGCCCTTTGCTTTCTTTAAGATTTCATTCACTCCAGAGAGACTCTTCAGAAGGATCACCTGCACTTTCTTGCTTTAGGTCTGAAGGTAATTAAATCATGACAGATTATTGTGGAAAAGGGCATACTTTATCAAACAATAATAATCAGGTCATAGCTTTGTGTACTTAGGCTGAATATTCTTTGCTGACAGAGCTGCAGAACACTGGCAAGTCTCCTTCTGAAATTGATATCTGAGGTATTTTCTCTTCAAACCAAAAAATGCAAATGTTATTTTGGAAGCCAACACATCCATGTTTGGATTCCCAAACCGTTCCCTCGGTGCATTAACCTGGGACAGGGAAAAGTAATGTTTTAACTTACTTGCTAGTAACATTCTACTTCCATTATCTAGGACACTGATAGGAAGGGTCAGCTCTTCCTTTTACTAAGATATGAATATTGCTTCCTCCAGTGTGGTAAAGCAAATATGACCAGCTGTCAGTACACCCTGGGAGCAGCTTGAGTGTTGTCTCGCTTGGCCACTCCAGAAACTATGGTCGACAACTTTCAGCAACATCTTTTGCACAAAATCAGAAGAAATGTGATCTTACGTGGCTCTGTGCCACAAGGCCCTTGTCAAAATATTAGAGCGAAAAAACACCCTACAGCCACCTCACATATGAGGTCCTCTCCCTAAATTTTCCTATCTCACAGAAATTGGGTTTTTTTTTAAAGTTGCCTGGAAAAAAGCAACAGCTGGGTTTCTCCTTCTCCATACCCTCATTTTTTAAAATATTTATTTTTGTGTTTGCTTCATATCTTGCTTTTCCCATTTCTTCCCATTTGAACATCTCCTTGCAAATTGCAGAAGACTGAAGTCTGTTGAACTGCAAGTGCACATGCAGACATGCATTCATAGTCATGTTCTGAACTGCAGATGGAGGAGTACCTCAGAAAGAAAAATTGCATTAAATGCAAGTGGCCTAGTACCTCCTCTGAAAGATGCTCTTGGTACACGCCCACCTATACTACTGAAGGGAATCTCTACATGGTTCCTTCCTGCTACTCACTGAAGGTGACCATTTTGCACAGCAAATGAAAATGGAGAGGTAGACCCAGCAGCTGGTGTCTTACTTTACTATCCAATTGAAATTGGGTCACAGACTACGATTTGAAGACCTCTAGACTGCATAATACAGTAACATCTTCAAATGGTTGCTGGCTTCCTACAGCCATGGTTTGTGTTACATTATGTGCCATCAAGTAGGAAACAACTTATATAGGTTTTTCAAGGTAAGTGAGACATCTAAGAAATGGTTTTACCAGTTCTGCACATCCAGTGAGTTTCCATCTCTGAGTGGGTGTGAGGAAGAAGCTGAGGAAAAATCAAAGAGTGTGCCATCCCCTCAAAGGGCTAGCATAGATATGCAGACACGGGAGATAGCAGAGACAGGAGCACCATCAGAGGAGAAAGAAGAAGGTCACGCGCCAGAAGCAGTGAGGGCCTGAGACCAAAGATTCTGGAAGGAAAGAAGTCAGTTCTTTAGTTGGGACCGGGGCAAGAGAGAGGAGGGAGGAGAACCGCGAAAGGGAAAAGGCGGATGTGTTCCTGACCACCGAGGAAGGAACATCATCCAAAGAGAAGGAGAAAATCACAGTGTTCAGAGAGGCAGCGATGGATAGAGCTAACAGTGGTGCTCAGGTTTTCGCTGTGCCGGTAAAGAGACCCTTGGCTGATAGTGTTAAAGTGGAGTCAGTGAGCCTGACTTTGAGTAAACTAAGACCCATCATTCCTGGCCTCAGTCCAGAAGAATGGACAGTGCTGGTTTATCCCAGGAATCAAGGTCCTACCCGGTTGGTACATCATGTAGACCTGATGATAAAAAAGCGTTGAGAGAGGGAGAATGGGCCCGTCACCCATGTTGTGGGACCTTGTGTGTGGTCCGCAACAACTTCCTGTGGCAACCGACGAAGGAAGAGGAAAAAACAAAAACCTATTATTGAAGGACTTAAATGAAGAAAAATCATTGTTGTGGTTTTGGGAGAGTTCTCCTCCCCAGTTATCTATACAAAGTTCAATTGTTCGTAACAAAGAAGATTTAAACAGTTCTGTTAATAAAAATTCTTTATTTAATAATTCTGAATCCTCATTTGTATCACCTGAGAGAGAAATGCCCAAAGGTAACCGAGAACCCACTCAGTGGGATTCAAACTCAGGCAGGCCTTCTGAGTCCTCGTCTATCACTCTGTCCACTAGACCATACTAGGTATCACAACTGTGGTTAGGTAAAGGTTCCCCTTGACAATTTGTCCAGTTATGTCCGACTCTAGGGGGTGGTGCTCATCTCTGTTTCCAACCCAAAGAGCTAGCGTTTTGTCCAAAGACAATCTTCCATGGTCACATGGCCAGCGCAACTAGACATGGAACGCCGTTATCTTCCCACCGAGGTGGTACCTATTTATCTACTTGCATTCGCGTGCTTTCGAACTGCTAGGTTGGCAGGAGCTGGGACAAGCGACAGGCACTCACTCCATTGCATGGATTCGATCTTAGGACTGCAGGTCTTCTGACCTTGCAGCACAGAGGCTTCTGCGGTTTAACCCGCAGTGCCACCACGTCCCAACTGTGGTTACAAATGGTCAAATGTCAACTTTGCTACCTCAGTATGTAGTCTGGATTTGTTTTGTGCCAACACACTTACCGCTGTTTTGGTCTGTTGCTTCTTCAGATAAAGATGAAACAAGATGGAATATAAGGCAGAAGCACCTGAATTCTGAGTTGAAATTCTGTTTGAGGACTGGTGGTCATGTATTTTAGATACATCTTGAATAGAGTTTTTCACATTTGCCAGTCACTTATCAATCACAAGGCCTTATTAGACATTTTCTCCTCCAAAAAAGTCCCTTAAGCACACTGCCTGGAAGTTCAAACCTGAGCAGCTCAGGCCACAGAATGCTCATATGATCATTCAGACAAGATCAACTGAACCAAGCCAATTGGAAATGACAGAAGTGTGACTTACCAAGCTTGAACAAGTTCTAGAAGCCAGTGAATTCGAATTTGCTCGATGCCATTGTGCGGCACAGATGAAATATAAGCCAAGTTAATCACCTGGTCTTTACTCAGATCAAACAAGTCTGCTTGGCTATGTGGTAAAGGAGGGCTGGAAAGAGAGTGGAAAATAATTCTCAGTGTTTACATAGTTTTTTCAGCATCTCAATATACTTCACTTATATTATAGCTGTGTGAAAGTACAGCTACATTATTGTACAGTAGAGCAAATCTACATTCTACAAGGCACTCCTCAACATGAGGACAGTCCAAACAAAAAATTATAAACTTGGAAACTGGGCTCCAGATCAGCACTAAATTTGGCACAGGTGTAGCAAAGGGTTTTCAAATTAAGATTTTTATTTTAAAAAGTAAAACTGTTTCTCTTCATTCAGAAACAGGTGAACCCAACAACCCCAGATTTAAAACGGATCACATAAACTAAAAACACCAATTTTCTTTATCTTGAATGAGAATGGTTGTCTCCACCTGCTTTTTTTTAAAATGTGGAAAGAATCTGGGCAGCAGGAGCTGAAATACTGATCCTCAAAAAGAGCCTTTCAAAAGAGAAAAACACTTTGTTATAAGACTGAGCATTTGTGATACAAACTTACCAGCAGGAGCATTGTGAAAACATTGTATATGTTCCTAGGTAGGGGAAAGAGATATTACTTTGTTTTCCCTTTATAAGACTGAGCATTTGTGATACAAACTTACCAGCAGGAGCATTGTGAAAACATTGTATATATTCCTAGGTAGGACACACACACACACACACACACACGAATCATTGTCTGTTCCAGTAAGTTCTGCTCAGGCTTTGCAAACTAACAGGTGTAGATTCCTTTGTTGAGTCAACCCATCCCATGTTAGGTCTTCCTCTTTTCCTACTACCTCCCCACACCACTTTCCCCAGCAATATTGTCTTTTCCAGTCAGTTATGTATTCTCATTATATGTCAAGTAGGATAACTCCAGTTTACTCATTTTTGCTCTAGATGTGACTTGCTTCAGACTTGACTTGATTGAAGACCCACTTATTTGGCTCTCCAGTGGTCTATCAGTAAGGCTCATCTTCTGGGATCCTCTAGCACTGAGTAATTCCACATGAAGCTGCTGTTGGAATTTGTGTAGTTTATGTATACTTAAACTTCCATTTTAAAAAGCCAGGAAATGGAATTCTTTAAAATAAAAAAAAACTCTCCAGGTATCAATGTGGGATATTATGCTTCTGTATTCATGATTCAAAACACTTTTCTTTTTTCCTCTCTTTTTCCATCTTGGACTCTGCGATTAATTCAGATTTTACCTTTAGTTTATTTTTTATGCTTTATGTAAACCCCCCCAGACACGTTCTAGATGAGTGGTATATAAGTGTAATAATAAATAAATAAATAAATAGGAAATGGTCTGATATTGCAGCACAATATTGTGCCACGTTGCCAGAAGTAAAAACTTGACATAGCAACGGGCAGCTTGAATTTTGACAACACCAATGTTAGGGGTCAAGATGGCCTCTACAAGTTCTTCTGCTCATTACCATTCACTCCATTTTTCATCAGTTAACCGCTTCTCACTGAAACACAAAGCAATTGTCACAGAGCTGTTTTTTTAAGTTCTCTGAAAAGGGGGTGCTACTTCTGTACAGAGAGGAAAGGAGCCTGGTTTCACTGTCTGAAACCCTGCTCAGAGAACCCTGGTGCAATGCACGGACTCATCATCCTGGACTTCCCACAGCACTTGTCCACACATGACTTCTTGTGGCCATTCGAGAGACTTGCTTCCTGCCCCTTTGAACAGCTGCCTCAAAGTAAACAACACTGAAGTTGGCAGGACTTTTTTGAGCAAGTGAACATGTATGGCTTGGGCTCTCAGTGTAGTACCAAGGAAATACCAACATCCATTTGGTTACACTCTTGTTTCCTGATCCTGTGCTACGAAAGTTACTCACATCCAAAAGGTTAGTAAACTGAGTATTTGTTAAACTCGGGAGGCATTCACAGAAGATACTTGTTTAAATGAGCACTGACGGGTTTGATGTCTGGTGCATTGCTAGGCTGTGGTATGACTCCTCGGCTGGCACAAAAGGTTAGTAAACTGAGTATTTGTTAACCTCAGGAGGCATTCACAGTCAGAAGATACTTGTTTAAATTAGCACTGATGGGTTTGATGTCTGGTGCCTTGCTAGGCTGTGGTATGACTCCTCAGCTGGCGACAAACTGTTTGGCAGTTCGGCCATAGCTTGTAACCAGCAATTTTTAACCAACTCAGGTCTCATTTATGGAGGGCTGTACAATTTTTGAAGACTTTTCTTCCTCTTGGAGTCTCCTGAATGAGGAGTGCCCGAGACTAACTACTGGTGTTGCTTTTACTTATCAGGGTGTGTGCGTGCCACATATGTGATGTTTGTTTTGAATTGCTCTTGAGAGCATCAATAACTATTTAAAAGCTAATACTATTTGCTTCGATGCCTATCTACTCCTTCATGTTAAGTGTGTAAATTTACAAGCCAGCAGATGTCCCACAAAGCGCGTCTCTCACACACTCTTCTCACATAGAAACTGCCTATCCGCAGACATGTCCTAACACTGGGGAGAAAAAAAAATTAGAAGCCAAGAACCAACATGAGGGACAAAATACTACGCATTTTATTTGTGTTTTGGCAAAAGAAGACCCCTGATCCTGGGCGCCGAGCCAGCTATCAATGCTCACCACCAAAAAATATTCATGGCTTACCAATATCCGGTGCTTTTCCAGAAGTGCTTTAGTTCCTTTTTAGTTTGCGAGACGTCCACATGGATAAAGACGCCGCCCCAGGCCACTTGCACGGCTAGACCCACCAGGGCTGCAAGGGCCAATGCCTCCTGCGACTTCATCAGATCCTGGGAAATTGTAACACCGACCAGATCCCAAAATACTGCTGCCGTCCCATCCTATGATTTTTCAAAAAAACCCTCACGGGCAAACTCAAATGCCTCGCGGGGCTACCGGGGACACCCGCGTCGGTATCCTATTTTCCATCTGTTTATTTCTTGGTGTCTACATCCGGTCCCCCCCCTTTAGTCTGGGCAGAAAACGGTTCTCCCAGGGAGGAGCGTTAGGGACCAAGCCTCCTGCGATCTTTCTTGTTCCAAAATTGAGACCAAAAGACACTCAATCCACCCCTCTTTCCCAGATGAGATGGCCGCTCCTTTCTGACTTCCTGCTTTTTGTGTGTGTGTGCGTGTGCAGACACAACAATACAAGCGATGGGGGGGGTGCGAGAGAACAAGGCTAGAAGTGCTCGCAAAGGCAGCTGCAAGTGACTTGAGTAAGAGCTCGGCTGAGATCAACGGGAGATGCCGCCGACACAACTTGGAGGGGGTTGTGTTGCCAGAGAAAGAGGCGAGCTGCCATTGAAATCTCTTCCTGACTTTGGAGGAAGTTTCTGTTTAGCTCCATGTGACTTTCTGACAGATGATCCGATGGGCCAAGACACTTATTTTATTTATTTATTTGATTTTTATCCCGCCCCTCCAGACAATGTCTACTCGGGGCGGCTTACATAGATAAAAACACATCAATATAACATATATAAAATCATAAAGAATACAATTATAGCGATTAATTCCAAACAATACATTATCAAGATGGGAACAACAACAAAAAAAAAACACTTAATTGACTGGAGAGAAGGTTTTGTAGCATTCTGCATGATCCTGATTAAGGTGAATGAAACAAGTAAAATAAAATAATAATAATAATAAATAGTCTGGTGACACCTTAAAATGTACGTAATGGGTTTTATTCGACATAATGTTTTGCAGACTAACTCCCACCTCCTCCGATGTAGGGATCCAATGTAACCTGATGGACTACCGCCCAGGAGAACTTATATTAAATCACATTAGCGTTTAAGATACAGTAAAACACTTCGACCGATTGATTGACCAGGGAGCCTTTTTTTCCTCCTCACCGCGCGCTAGGCTCGCGACGCGTTTTCCCGCGAGAAGCCCCGCCTATTTTCTCCCCCCAACCCGTTAATTGACTATATTGAGGGACTCTGAAGTGAGTTGCGATTGGCTGCCTCTCGGACCAATCAGAAGAGGCTCTGGGAGACGAAGACGTTGCCTCGGTTTTTCCTTTGGTTTGAATTTTGGCGGCGGTTGGTGGCGGCTGTTGAGGCTTCTCGCCTTGGTCTCCTCTTTGTTTTGACTCTCCGCGCCGGGACTGTGGAGGGTTTCCTCGTCAGTTAAGATGGCGAAGCCGGTGAGGCAAAGGTGAGGGAAACCGTTGGACTTGGAGGTCAGAGGGCGCGGCGTCGGGGATGGAAAGGCGGCTATGGGGCATTCCGTGGTTTAGGCGGTGGGCCATACTTTTACTTGGAAGTAAGAGTCCTCCTTCTCTATAGGGCTTCTCCCGAGTCAAGTGTACGTGAGATTGTTTCCTTAAAGATTGGGGCGAGGGGTGGAGGGAGGCGCAAAGGATGGTCGGGTTTTAGGGGAACTACAAAACAAGGCGAAGGAATAAACTCTCGTCAAGTTACTTTTTGGGGTAAAAAGTTATTTTTTTCTGCGTTACAACTCCCAGAATCTGCTAGTGATGATGCTGGCTGGGGAATCCTGGAGCTGCAGTGGAAAATAATTTCTCCAGCTAAATAAATGAGTTAGGGCAACGTATGGTTCTCCACAATGAAAGAAAAGCAGGTCTCAATTTATCAGTGTGCAACCACATTAATATTTGGATAAAATAATCTCCAGGGAGTTTTACAGAAGACTTTTATACCTTAGGGTGGTTAAAAAATAGTGATAGAAATGCATGAATGTATATCATGTAAATAACACCTGGACATTAAAACCTATAAGGTGATTGTGTAAAACTGGATGATGAACTAGGGTCGTGATAGAAATGCATGAATGTATATCATGTGAATAACACCTGGACATTAAAACCTCTAAGGTGATTGTGTAAAACTGGATGATGACCTAGGGTCTGTTGTTCTAAATTTTGTCTTTATGAAGAAATCACTATCAGCCTTAGGCAATGGTATCTTCAGTAAGGTGACCAGATACAACAGAAGACAGGGCTCCTGTACTTTAAATAGGCAAGTGTGCATATCAATACATAATAATAACTGCATTCAGTGGCATGACTGACCAATGAATTTCTGTCCTTGACATAACAATTAAAAGTGTAGGAGCTTTGTCCTCTTTTGCATGTGGTCACTTTAAGACCCTCAGTTTCTCCAACACTTGTTTCTATTCTGCTTATGAGAATGGTAACACTGATGTATCGTACAATGTTGTTTCAAGGGTTCTATCAAAATGATTTATGGAAAGACTCAATGTAAGACACACTGCTTTGACTTGGAATACTTTGCTTCATAGCTTTATGGAGATTTCAAGCCTGTTTTGGAAAATAGACTTGATCCTTTTTTCCCCTCCTTGTCTTTCCATTGGAAACATTGAAGGACTAGTGGGCCTCATGCTGTCATTTGACTGAAGCTCCTGTTAGCTGTACCTAATAGTGTCAATTGTTAAAGAAGATAGAAGCTGCAGTCTAAAGCAAAGCAAAGTGTTGCTTTATTCTGGCCCCATAGCACTCTTTGGACAGTTTACAGTTTAATTCTGCAGGCTATACATTCCCCCTCCCTCCGTGAGATCAGTACTCAGTTTACTAACATTAGAAGGCCGAGTCAAACTTGACCTGGCTATTTGTTTAGGTATTTATTTATTTATACCCCACCTTTCTCCTTTAAAAGGACCCAAGGCAGCTTACAACAATGAAAGACAATACAGTATATAAAGTTAAAAACAATGAGTATATAACAGTGGTTACCATAATTAAAAAGTGATATTTAAAAATCATGAACAATGAATAAAGAGGCAACTTACAATTAACAGGCAATATTAAAGCAAAGATCAATAAGTATCCATTTAAAAAAAAAAGATTCACTCTGAGAGAAAAACTCAAGTGGTACTAACAATCCAGTCAAAGCAGTAATGTATAACACTGTCTAAAAATCACTTGACCCTGTCTGGATCGAACTCAGGACGTGAGCAGTCTTTGACCGCAGTATTGTAGTCTAACAACATTTGGAGGCCTACATGATCCCCACCCTGGTCCTAGACTGGAATATCAGCTTTTAACTAAATGTCTCCCAATTCAGTGAATAACTGTGCCTAATGTGTTTTGTTTGCTTGCTTACGGACACCCAAAACTGGAATTATATAACTTAGTTGGATTTATGGCCCATTTAGGCCAAAGAAAAATTCCAAAAAGGACAATTCATAAAATAGTTCATAATGCAAACATCCATGAAATCTTCAACAAGCCAGAAGTTAAGCAAATAAAGTCATAAAAATGCAAACACACAATGATTAATCTCTCATTTCAGAAAATTTTAAATCCAATTACTATGTAAAACGTTTAGTTTTTCCCTTAAAAAGAACTCTCACATTCCTTGGTAGATGGAAAACAAACAAAAAAAATGAGAGGACAGAGACAATAATGTATTTATATTAACAAAGCTGGAGATAATTTTAGATGCTGTATGGCATTTACAAAATTCATCAAGAGCCAAATTATTGAGCTGGATTCCAGTGCAGAAAATGAATGAATTCTTTGGATAAAACAAAAGTGTAGTGTTGAAGTTATTCATTTGTTTCTTTTTATTTTCTTCATAAGTGAGGTCTTGGCTTCCTCACTTGTGAATAGTGTGACCCAGGCTGTGGGAAAGCTGCTGGATTTATGGAATGAAATGGGTATCAGCCATGAATTGCAGTTGGAGCGCATGCAGGCAGCAAAGGCCCACATTGAGGTATGAACAGAATTTTGGTGATGTAATCCTTCTCTGTGTTAGAAGGATTGGGTTGCTTTCTCCTGGTCCCCAGGCTACTTGTATTATGTGATGTGGTATTAGTACATAGGCACAAAACTCAACTCCCTTTGAGCCATTTTCATGGCAAGATTTAGCCTTTACAGCTTGGAGGTAAGCTTGAAAGTGTGTAGGCAACTTCTGAAGTCAGAGTGGTAGTGGATAAGGCAGAATTACATGTCAGTTGGGAGCTCCCATTCATTGGGAGCTAAGATAATCCTGCATCTTCCTTCTTCCTCATTACTAGAAATGTATGGTTTTTAAGCTTGGGAGCAGGATGGGAGTGGGGGAAACAGAGGTAAATGGGAGAAACTAGAGAAAATGTAAATCATACTGAGTTTTCCCACTTAAACATTCTTATGAAGATAAGATCTGATCATCTTTTTAGGCAGATGTCACAAGTCAGCTTAAGAAAAATGTGAAGTATGAATAAAATTTATAAATTCAGAGCTTGGGCCTTCATTGGAGCGTTAAGAAGTTACAAATAATATAAGCTTTTGGATTTCCCAGAGCTCTTTATTGAGCAAACATGTTATGCTCTCTCAGATTATATTTCTAGTATATTAGCATACTACTGTATATTAGTTATCAGGATGGGGTGTAGCTAAGAGAATTACTTTATAGTATTAAAAGGATAGAGTCACTCCTGCTTAACAGTAGTGGATAGTTGTATGTTCTTTGATCATGTCTGAATAGGCTGCTTAAAAAAGAGACAAGGAGGGTGATTTTCATGCAATATGATCTAATTTTGCCCAGTTGTTTACTCTAATGTGGGTGTGCTGACACATACACTGATTTTTCTTCCCCCACAAACTTTTCAAAAAGTTCTATACTCATTTACTACATACTAGATTTTGACCAAACTCCGGGAGGCAGTGGAAGACAGGAGGGCCGGGTGTGCTCTGGTCCATGGGGTCACGAAGAATCGGACACAACAACTAAACAACAAGATTTGGGGTCTTTTTCATTAATTTATTTGTGTTGTAATTTAATATTTGTAGTTGTAATGCAACTACAAATATTAAAAGGTTTCCCTTTTCCTTTGAAATATTTGGTAGAAATATGAGAGTCTAAAAAAGCAAACATGTGACTTACATTTTTAACTGTGGATACAATGCATTAAATAAACAAGTGCTGAAAATTTTACATTTAATACATTTGATAGACATATTTACTGACGTGTGTGTGTATTTCTGGACAGGTTCTGTTGAATGAAATGATTGAGGAAGAAAACAGTATGAAAGAAAAAATTGAAAATGACATCGAAATTCATAAGCATCAATTAAATAGGCTCAGAGATGAATTGAAGCTGGATCCCTACAAGGCAAGTTGATCCTCAGCGGCTTATTCTTAATGACAAAACACTAAGGGTAGTTAGCAATCCATTCTAATTAACAGTGAAGACTGAAAATACCTATCAGCAGTAGGAGTTCTTCGTTATTTATTCTCTATGGAGCCACTTTTTATAAATAATATTGCTTTTCAAAATTTAGAACTCTGCAAAATAAGGCCTCTGCTTGCATATTTCGACTTTACTCGCTATGAAAATAGGGAACTATTTCTAACATAGAAAAGCCTTGCTGCTCTGCAAATCTACCATTCTCATTTTGCAGTACTCATGTGGCTTTTTTACCTACACACTAGCAACATAATTGGAATGCAGGTTAAGGGCAATAAGTGCAAGAGGTGGGACGGGCTCAGATCTTAGCTTATTCTGCCCTCCCTCCCTTTCCCATGGATATAAATTAGGATTTACAGGAAGGGAATATTGTCTCATGCTAATTCATTCTTTTCTAATGACTTGATGCTTTAAGTGTTTGGTCAGGCAATTGAACCCAAAGTTTTTGTTTGTATTTTTGTACTTTTCAAATGCCAACCCTAATTTAAAATAAACCTAGCTTGCCAAAATAGGTTCAGGACTCTTGTTTCCACTTTTTTGTATTAGCTGGCTGGATAGCTCAGTGGTTTAGGTATCTGGCTGCGGAGCCTGAGGTTAGGAGTTTGATTCCCCCTGTGCACCTTGAGAAAAGAGCTAGCCTGTGTAGTTGTGGGTAAGCTGCACAGCCCCAGGGTCCCCCCAGAAGGAGTCACTGGTAAGCCAATTCTGTGCATGTTTTACCTACCAAACCCTGGAAAGGGTAACTATAAGTCAGAATTGACATCACACAATTATTAGTAGTTACCTCTGCAACTTTATGACTCTTTCCAGGTTGATAAAAGTTTAACCATACTTCAGTTAGAAAAAGACCTTCGCTTGGCTTTAGAGTGTGCTCTTAAAGAAAAACATGAAAGGCTTAAGAAGCTGAAACGGCTGCAACAGGAAGACCAGGACCTATGTTCAGAGCTTTATGAGACCCCTTACTACGTACCTACTGGCAGTATTCCGAGCAGCTTGGAGCTGGAAGAACTACAAGAACATGTTGAGAAGCTTTTGAAAATAAAGGTACTGTGCTGAGTTTATCTCTGCATTAGAAAAATAGAAACATTTCAGAAAAGTTACACATATTTTAAAAACTGCATATTTGAAAACCTAGCTATGTCAGTAGAATAATGCCTGAGTATCAGTCAACAGAAGACATTAGTATTCTGAAGACCCCTTAATTCTTCCCTGGTTTGGATTAAAATTCAAGTTTAAGGATTCCCAGTATACTACCTCCTTCATCCCAGTCAGATCCAAAATAACTTTAGTTATGTGGGAGAATCCTATTGGGGTTTCTGATACAGTGGTGCCCCACATAGCGACGTTAATCTGTTCCAGGATTAACGTCGCTATCCGGAAACATCGCTAAACGGAAAGAAAAACCCCATAGGAACACATTAAACCCTGTTTAATGCGTTCCTATGGGGCAAAAACTCACCGTTCAGCGAGGATCCTCCATAGGGGTGGCCATTTTCACCGCCTCGGTAAGTGAGGAATCCGTCCAGAAAACAGCGGGCGACCATTTTGGAACCGCCAATCAGCTGGCATTTTCCCCCAGCTGGCCGGCGGGTGCTTCAGAAGGAGCCTCCGGAGGAAGAGGAGGAGGTGAAGCGGGAGACGGGGAGCCAAGCACCCCGGGAGGAGCGAGCTGGCCAAAGCGCCGCTCACCGCCGGCCCTGGGCTGAGCGCCCGCTGCCTTCTCAGAGGAGGAGGTGGAGCGGGAGAAGGGGAACCAGGCGCCCAGCCCTTTCTCTTCGCCCGCCACCTCTGCAGCGCGGATCCCGGCGGCGGGGGCAGGG